GAAAGAGGAGAAAGAAAGAGAACGTCAGCTCTTTGAAGCACATTCACCAGAGGGCAGGAGGTCAGTCTTCTCCTCATGAGGCTGTGGCCGGGGTAGCACAGCAGCACCCCAGGGCCCTGCTTCTCCCCTGTGAGTCACTGACAATCACCCACCCAAGCATCCAAGTTGTCTCCACCTTCAGGAGCCAGGAAGAGGTTAGTGGAGTCAGAAGACCCCTCCCTCTGCCTAACCCTAACTCTAAGCCTTCCCCGTGTCAGCAAGCTCCCGGCCTTCACACTGCACTAAATCCACGAGCTCACCTGCTTCCTCCCCACAGATTGTGAGCTGTGCGATAGCAAAGACCAGGTTCCACCCTACACGTACAGATGCGCTAAAGCTCCCCTGGTAGGAGAGGGGTGAGTAAACAGGGACACTCCACAGAAACAGCACACCCCTGGCACCAGCCTGCACCTCCCCTTCTAAGATGTGCTTGTTGTCACCGAGGACACGCACACACTCCTGGTGAAGAATCAGACTTGCTCATGCTCGTAGTGACTAAGTTTAACTTTGCAAAAAATTTAAATCATCCGTATTTCGTTTTATAAAATTAGAAATTGTCCCAGCTTAAAAAAAAAGAAAAAAGTTGATTACAAATGCTGTCATGCCAAGAGAACAAAATTCTGTTGGACTGATTTGTCAAAAAGTTTTGTTCAAGATGTGCTTTCAATTCAGCCATTCACAGCATCAGAAGTAAATAGGAACCTGTGCACCAAAGAGATCACATGCTAATTCACAAAGATGCAGTTATTTTAACTGCACTTTCCCTCCCATGCCCATAATGTTCATTAGGAGGAGACATGCTTATCACTTTCTGGGTTATTTTAACAAGTTTGATTTTTCTTCTCTTCAACAGTTTTGTTTTTGCTCTTTGCTTTTTTAAAAAACGTGAAGAAAATGCTGGACAGAAAAGAGACAGCACCTCAAGCGGAAGAATCCAGGGAACAGCATACGAGTTAGAATCCACTTTGGCTTATTTATCTGTTAATGTTCTAACTTGCCATCCAGTGGAAAGATGTTCTTGGAATGTGAACATTACTTGGTAGAAATACAGCCGCTACTGAGCCACCCTCTCACCTACCTTATGTAACCTGTCTTAGGTCTGTGGGTCAGATGCCACCTGTAGGCAGTGTAGTCCTTCCAGCCAATATTTTTGGGGTCATGCCATAACGTGCGAACCTGGGGAAAAACATCACTTGTGAGTATAATTGGCACCCTGAGTCTTAAACACAGTTTTACGGCACAAGTGGGGGAGATGAAAACAGTACTCTGCTAAGTAATCCCTATGGCCCCTGCTGCCACATCTACCTCCGATATATTTCATATTGTAAATCTCTAGCGTGAGCAAAATCCACCGAGAGGGGACAATGTAGTTCAGTGCAAGGAGCACAGGTACTTGGGCCGAGTCACAGAGCCTCTACTTCCTCAACGTGGGACCTTGGGCGAAACACTTACACCTTTGAAACCCTGTTCTCCCTATTTCTATAAGGGAGTACGCCTACGTTTCATGTGCAAGAGGGTTACCAATTGTGTTTATAAAATCGCCAGGCGTGGCACCTTTAATAAGCGAGGTACCCGATAAAAGATTGTTAAAAGCACCGTGGGGCTTTCCTGGTGGCGCAGTGGTTGCGAGTCCGCCTGCCGATGCAGGGGACATGGGTTCGTGCCCCGGTCCAGGAAGATCCCACATGCCGTGGAGCAGCTAGGCCCGTGAGCCATGGCCACTGAGCCTGCGCGTCCGGAGCCTGTGCTCCGCAACGGGAGAGGCCACGACAGTGAGAGGCCCGCGTACCGCAAAAAAAAACCAAAAAAAACCAAAAAAAACACCGTGACTTGAGGTAAAATGAACAAAAACCGAGGTGGGGGTACTTTTGCAAGGGGCAGGTACTGCTCTCCTGAAAGCTCGCAGCAGCTGCCAGCCTCGGCCAGAAGAGACCGTCCTCCTCACCTGTCCCTCTGTGTTCCCCGTGTGCCACAGGGCATTCCTCAGGTGCTCGCCTGTCCCCGTGGTGGAGTTCACCACTTTGAGGGACACCCCTGAGTAGCCGTACGCCCGGGTGGGCTTGTCTTCCCAGTACGTCTGAGTGACCTGCTTCCACATCACCACATAGAAACGGCTGCTGGACTGGTAGCCAAAGACGAAGCCAGCGTAGTCGTCATCCCGGTCCGTGTTGACGTAGAATGTGCCGCTGAAGTCGACTGACCCAAACTCGTCGAAACCTGGGGGCCGAAGGGAACATTTGGTCACAAGACCAAGTCAGAAACAGCCTTTTAGGAAATTACTGGATGAGTCCTGGGACCCCTGGATGCAGGTGGAAAGAGGCTCTCCTCTTCCATCTAACTCAAGGTCTGTTCCTGTGGGATTAACAACACTTGTGGAATTTAATCTTTTTAGATCCCACTTACAGAGTTATGGCAGAGCTTCACCACCCTAGGTAATAATTTACAGACCAAATCCATAAAATGAAATGGCTTGCTGAATATTAAATCACAGAGAATTTGGAAAGGCAAATGAGTGCTTCCCCAAGTTCTCCCATCAAAAATATTTAGGCAGATGGTTTTACAAACCAAGGGAGGATGGGGGCTACCAGAAAGACCCACTGCTCCTGTCCACTCGGTTTTAAAGGGCAGCCCACATGCTCCGTGGGCACCTTGCAGGCAGGAACTGCAAGGGGTGGTGCGTATTCTAAGACTCACCAACAGCAATGCCAGGGTCGGAGTTGGCCGTCTGCACCAGCTCTTTGCCTTGATGGCGAATGACCCAGTTGGGATCGATCTGAGTGGTGCCCTTGGGGTCCAGGTGGACCATCTGGAAGTTCCGGAAGTCCGTCTCACTGATGGCGTGGTTCTCAGGACACACGTCGTCAATATCGGGGATGTTGTCGTTGTCAAAGTCGTCTTTGCAAGCATCACCACGCCCATCACCTGTCACCAAGGACAAGCAGAGAAACACGCAAAGTTAGGGTTTGCTGTCCGCATCTCTGTGTCTGAGAAAACTTAGCGCATGATTCTCTGAGAATTCAAGGTTAGGTGCTTGGCAGGACCTGGACCTGCTTTCCTGGACCGGTGCCTGTAACTCTGACATTTCACCCCGACACTGTGAGGAATCTGAATGCTACCGGTGCCTGTAACTCTGACATTTCACCCCGACACTGTGAGGAATCTGAATGCTCTTTTCAAAACGTTACTCGGGGCTTCCCTGGTGGCGCAGTGGTTGGGAGTCCGCTTGCCGACGCAGGGGACACAGGTTCATGCCCCGGTCCGGGAAGATCCCACATGCCGCGGAGCGGCTGGGCCCGTGAGCCATGGCCGCTGAGCCTGCGCGTCCGGAGCCTGTGCTCCGCAACGGGAGAGGCCACAACAGTGAGAGGCCCGCATAC